GTTCCATAACCATTTTTGAGCTTTTTGTCCTGTTGGAAAAAAGAAATTCTGCTCAAGAATGTTGGAAACCTGTAACCATTGACATTATAGGAAAAACAAATACTATGGAAGTCAACAGTTACCAGTTTCCAACAGACCATAACAATTGGCTTGGAAAAAGGTACGTACGCGTAAATGATGACAGAATGTTAATTTTTGGTTGAAACGTAGCTTAATTTTTTGGAAGAACTATCCTCTTATGTCAAAAGTAGGTGCTAGCACTTCTACATCACAAACAGATATATATATAAGATTACTGTCAGGGATTTTTGAGCTAGCAGTGCCAGGAGTACCTTGTTTATAGGTAGTGGCTCTCTGCACATAACAATATTCCTGTAATTAAATAAGTAAAACAGAAGCCCAGGATCTTAAGCATTGAATTGCATTTTAATGTGTTTAGTGTGTTACACGCATGCCATAAATTAAATCAACGAGAGAAGAGTTCACAAACTGAAAATCATATTTTATATTATATGAAAATTAGGGATGTCCAGCTCCGTTAATGTGATCAGGCCCGATAACGCGGTTTTTAACTTGATCGAAATCTGACGTTACCTCCCAATCAGGACTCAAATATAAATGTATATGTATATACTCTCATTATTTTTTAACATATTTATAGTTATGCGGCGGCACAGAGTTAGACCTCTTTCTTGACTTCACACAGAAACAACAACATGTGCGGCCTGACATCACTTTGTTGCAGAGACATTATTGGGTTAAATGTTAAAAGAGAAAAAGTTGAAGTAGAACACAGAATCAGCTTGAAATGGAAAGCGCGAGTATGTCTGTGGTCTAGAAGTATTATAAAGTTGATGACGACAACATTGCCATAGCAAACTTTGAGTTATGTAAACTTGGGATTGTCTGCCAGATATTTGAAGTTGAGGAGCTATTTGTTTTTATATTAGATTTTTTTTTCATATTTACTGTTGCACTAAAGTCCAAAATTAAAGAATTTATGTTGTTTATTACTTGATTGTTTAATCTACCTCACAGACAGGGCCGGAGTGGGACTCTTTTTCAGCCCTGGAGTTTCAAGCCTTAGACCGGCCCACCTCAGTTCATGACTGACTATATTAAAATAAGGTCATTTCCAATTCAGTTTCTAATTACACTGTACGTCTTTTTTTTTTTTTTTTTTTTTTTGAGAAAACAGCTGCTTTAGAACTTTAAATGTTCAAAAACCCTAACAGTATTATATGTCTTAACAATAAAACTATAATTAAAAAAAAAAAAAAAAACATACTCAGACAAGAATCAACCCGGGTCGGCGGCGTCGTAATCTAACGTGCTAACCACTGGACCACAACAGTTGTATATGAAGTACTGACTCATCTGACTAATATCATCATTAACCTGTAGGCTGGTTGTATAAAAAAAGAGCAGAGCTGCGGTAAAATAATGAATAAGAAGACTGTAGTCAAGTAAGTAAATAAATTAATTTAAAAAGTGTGACTGCTGAGAGCAACAGATTCTGGAGCTAGGGACACCTGCCCTCGCGGCCAAAAAACGGACCGGCCCACCGGGAATTCTCCCGGTCCTCCCGATTAGCCAATCCGGGCCTGCTCACAGAAGTGCTGTGTTTGTTAACAGAGTTGTTGAATGTTAAAATTAGGTGAATTAAATAAAAAATAAAGAACATCCTGGATTTGTTTCATCTCTCTTCTTTATTCTTTGTCATGTATTATAGCAGTATTGGATCGGGTTTCGGTGTCAGTAGATGCTCAAAATCAAATGACTCGGACTCGAACTTGAGTGCAAAAAAACCTGATCGGGACATCCGTAATGAAAATATCAGATTAAATTGTAGCACATTATAGGCATACTATTAAAGTTAATACGATAAAAAAGGAAGGCATTTTTCCTCCCATTTCAAGCACTGTGTGTCATTCAGTATAGACAGAATCACTGATTATGATAGGTCTCTTATCTTTAGTCATGTTATGCCGTCGTGTACTGTGTAGATTTAGTTTAACATTATGAAAGAGTTTTTATTAACTTATCAACATGACGCTGTTCATTTGTTTGTATAAAAACAAATCCAGAGTAAAACCAAGCAGCTCGACGCAGTCTTTCCGGAGAGACTGAAAATAAATGATGATGCAGTGTAGTCTAAAATGAATCTGACAGTAATGCTGCAACACACAAGCAACCAGCAACAATGTTTTTACCCTGTGTCACTACTGCTTTACCTGTAACAGATCAATTTATTTGTACTACTGGTACATTTTAACCAAAATCGGCCACATTGTTTTCAGAGTACATCATGCAGTTCATGACCCCCTTTAACTGACTGAAGCAAAGGGTTATAAAACCAAGTTAAGAGCCAAATACAAAGCGAACATGCATTTGTTGTTTTCTCACTGAAGACATACATTCCCCTGCTGCAATGCTGGAATTTCAGAGGCCTGTTTGGGCTTTTCTCTGAGGTTTTTATAGGAAACCAAACAATAGTGGAGCTCAATAAATAACTTCCTAATTACAGTGGGTGTGGACTACGCTGTCTAAAAGCATTAAAGCATATCATAAAATACTGACAAGGAGAGCTGTGAGAATATGCAACTCAATACAGTGGCAATTCGCAAATGTTTAATTTAGTGGCTAATTTATATGACTTTACAATCTCATTTGTTTATTTTGATATGATTTTCTCATCCCCCAATGACATTTAGGGGCGAAATTTGGAAACAAGCCTCCGTTTAAAAAATTGTACGTTATTGTACCAATAGAACCATACACTCTAAGAAATAAATGTACAAGAGCTGTCACTGGGGCAGTACCTTTTCAAAAGGTACATATTTGTACCTAAAAAGTCCTTAGTGGTATCTCAAAGGCACATTTCAGTACCCAAATCCACCTAAAATGTACCTTTGAGGTACCAATATGGACTCTTCAGGTACAAATATGTACATTTTGAAAAGGTACTGCTCCAGTGACAGCTCTTGTACCTTTGTTTCTGACAGTGTATGATTATGTATGAATTTGCCTCATTTCTGACAATACGTAAAATTGTTATATATGGGATAAGACCCAAATAGCAAAATCAGGGTTTCTGCAGGTTTCACCAAGTAAAAAATTTTAAAGACTTTTTAAGACCATTATGAATAAAATTTTAGACTTTTTTCAAATAGCCCAAATGGAAAATATTTTTATTTCATTCATTCATTCATTCATTCATTCATTTATTCAATTATTAATTTTCTTGTCGGCTTAGTCCCTTTATTAATCCTGGGTCGCCACAGCGGAATGAACCGCCAACTTATCCAGCAAGTTTTTACGCAGCGGATGCCGTCAACCCATCTCTGGGAAACATCCACTCACACATTCACACCCACACTCATACACTAAGGACAATTTAGCTTACCCAATTCACCTGTACCGCATGTCTTTGGACTGTGGGGGAAACCGGAGCACCCGGAGGAAACCCACGCGAAGGCAGGGAGAACATACAAACTCCACACAGAAATGCCAACTGAGCCGAGGATCGAACCACGACCCAGTGACCTTCTTGCTGTAAGGCGACAGCACTACCTACTGCACCACTGTGCCGCCAATATTTTTATTTGCCCTATCGAAAATATAAATTATAATTTAAAACATGTAATATTACGATAATGAACAAATAATAACAATTTTAATATTTTAGATATTTCTTATCAAAATATTTGATATATGGTGTAAAATCAAGCAAGCTCTACTTGTATCCATACACATCCACAAATGGTTTAAAAGTTTTAAAAACTATAATAAACTAAATCTATGCACAACACTCCAGGCCGGTGTCCTCAGTTGTACATACATGGAACACATTTATTTTAAACAAATGTTATTCTAAGGAAAACAATTAATCCATTTTCCTAAATAGAGTTAAAAAAAAATACCTTTAAAGTTTTATTAACACGGGTTTTTGGTGATTCAGTGTATGAGTTTTGACCAGATTGCAATACATGAACAAAGGAAAATTAAGACCTGTTTAAAAAAGATTTAAGACCTACAAGACAATATTTCAGTAAATTTAAGACTTTTTAAGGCCTAAAATTTTTATTTGTGAGATTTAAAATATTAAGACTTTTAAAGACCTCACAAATACTCTGAAATGCTCTCAGTTCATTCTTTTATTCAGCTTAGGCCCTTTATTTATCAGGGGTCACCACAGTGGAATGAACCATCAACCTATCCAGCATATGTTTTACACAGTGGATGCCTTTCTCATAGCCTTTCTCATAGCCATTTACATATCAAAACACTCCATTTAAAAGTCACATAGTTTATCTAGTTCACCTATAGCATATGTCTTTAGACTGTGGGGGAAACCAGAGCACCCGGAGGAAACCCATACAAACATGGGAAGAACAAGCAAACTCCACACAAAAATGCCAACTGACCTACCCTGCACTCGAACCAGAGACCTGCTTACTATGAGGCGACAGTGCTAACCACTAAGCCACCATGTTGCTACTCTCAGATCACAGCTACAATAAAAAAGTAAATCAAGACCCGGTTTTTAGTACATTTAACTTGTGGTCTGATTGACATAAACACATCTCAAATCCAGATGTTAACCAGGCCTTCATCTCATGTGACTACGCATCAGTTTAATCAAATCTGACGTGGTTTTAATTTTTAATGAGTGAACCTTTAACCAGGAACATTTCTTTAATGAGTTATGACACCTTGATTACCTTTTCAAAGCAATAATTTACAATCATCAGAGGCAAATGCTCAATAATTTAATCTTAAAGTAATTAAACACATCCCATCGCTAATGAGCAACGGAATCATTTCACAGACAAATTCATTTAATTTCGGTAATACCCTTGAAGCCTGAAATAAATGCAGAATGTTTTCATGATGACAATATTAATTTTCTGCATGAATAAATGTGGAAGGAGAGAGAGAGAGAGACAGAGAGAGGCACATGAACGCCAGTGGAGAGTGTGTCACTTCAGGCGGTTTACCTCTGTTTGTTTGACCCTCGTGATCTGTTGGAGTGGTGGGAATAGCCGGAGTGGATTGAATCCGTGTCCATGGCAATGGCGTCTGTGCTGTGATTGGTTTAACGCAGCGGAGGGAGGAATGCAGAGACTGGTAAAGTGGAGGCCAAGAGCAGGACATACATGAAGCTGCACAAGATGACAGGTTCCTTTCTAGGGGCTTTCAAACATTACCTAAAAAAAAAGAAAGGAATGTGTTAACAAGCTCATACACAGTACAAAGCATTTTCTATTAGCGATTGTGGAAATATTTGAAGAAAAAGCATGAAAGAGAAAAAAAATACATTCAAAATAATGAATGAATAATTTACATGGATTCATTTAGTAGATGCTTTTATACAAATTGATTTACAAATTAGGCATTCAACAAGCGATTCATCATGAAGAGGCACTTTCTAGCACTTCCTCTGTGATATTTGCTGCACTGGAAGTGCTAGGAAATGCTGTTTTTAAAAAAATCTAAAGTAGGAATAGAGAGGGAGCCTTAGAATGCAGTAAAGTGCACACGGTACAAATGAGATTTAATTCTTTTAGTAAATAAAATAAATAAATAATCAAAGCAAACAAATAAATACAAATTAGATTACAGTGATAAATAAAAATAAACATCTGTAAATAAATTAATACAATTCTATAAAATGAAGGGAAAAACTGTATTAAAGACATTTAATAGAAACTGTTATTTATTATTGGGTTTGATAACAATTATAATATTTAGAATATTTTAGACCCATTTATAACATTTTTACACCATAAAATACACTCAAAAATGTTTTTTTTTACTTGTTCAAACTTCTTATTTAAAATGAGCTGAAACTACACAATTCTTGAGATTGCATTGGGACAACTTAAGTTTTATGTTCAATCTACATAATTTTGTTAAAAATGTAAAGTTAACTTAACAAGATTTTTGTTGGGACAAGATGAATGAACTGTGTGGAACACTGCATTTTATACAGTGTAGGTTTTACATGCAAGAAACTATATAGATGCTTTTTACATTTTAGAATTAGAGTCCCTCATAAGAGGATGATCATATTTGGTGCTCTCTGGCATCTAAAAGCCTTCATTCACACTGTGAGGCTTAATGCTCAAATTAGATTTTTTTTCTCAGATCGGATCTTTTTGTATAGCTGTTTACACTGTTCTTACAAATGTGACAGATTTGCAGTGTGAACAGATCATGGCCCTAAACTGACCCATATGCGCAAAAGTACAACTACGCGCAGCACAACATGTCTAATTATGCACACAATGTATGTACTGTATAGAATAAAGCCTGTTGTCAGATTATGTTTAAAATGATTATTGACTTTTTCCACAGACAACCGCTGTGTTTTTTATGAACTCTAAATGTTTTTTTCTAGTACTAGTGTAGTTTTTGAAACCTAAAATACGTGTTTTTTGGTGATTTGTTATTAATATATTAATAGAAGCAGCCGCAGGCACACTGTAAAAAAAGTTTTGAACTCAGTTAATTAAATACCTCATTACTTCAACTTAAATAGAGTAAGTTCACAGTACTCATATAGATTAGTTTAACTCAAATGGTTTGTTGCAATCGGTTTACTCAAACAGTTTGAGTTGCCTTAACTTATTGGGTTTTACAGTATTCAGTTGGTTTGAGTTCTCTTCATTTATTGGGTTTTACTGTGCTCAAATTGCTGAATTTACTCAAATGGATTAAGTTCACAGTACTCAGTTGGATTAGTTTTTAAACTTAAATGGTTTGTTGCAATCGGTTTCCTAAAATGGTTTGAGTTACCTTAACTTATTGGGTTTTACAGTGTATGTTGATGAACAACCCTTTTTTGGTTACAGGTTGATGGTTAATGTTTGGTTAATGAGCGCCCGCTCATTCACTCATTCATTTTCTTTTCGGCTTAGTCCCTTTATTAACCTGGGGTCGCTACAGCGGAATGAACCTCCAACTTATCCACCATATGTTTAACACAGCAGATGCCCTTCCAGCTGCAACCCATCTCTAAAAAACATCCATACACACTCATTCAAACCCATACCCTACGGTCAATTTAGCTTACCCAATTCACCTGTACCCCATGTCTGGACTGTGGGAGAAACCAGCGCATCCACGTGAGCACAGAGAGAACATGCAATCTTCACACAGAAATGCCAACTGACCCAGCCGAGGCTCGAACCAGTGACCTTTTTGCTGTGTGGCGACAGCACTACCTACTGCGCCACTGCGTCATCCTATGAGCGCCAGCTGTCATTCAAAAAAATATATATTTAAAATGAACAACTATTAAATTTTTCGGGTAAAGTATTTGCCTTGTATGCTATTCTGCTATGCCACTGAGGAGTAGAGGGTGTTTGCAGCACTAACCAGTATAGAATAATGATGCGTGTCAATCGAAAATTATGTAAAAGTCACATGAATTTCAATAAGACTGTTCACACTGCAGTCGGATTGCAAAAACTGTCATGACAAAAACAGATCTGAGCACGTGTACAAAAATTATTTTATTCGGGCCACATTTTGCCTGTAGTGTAAAGGTAGCCAAAGATGACCTGTTTTATAAATGCACCATAAATGCAGGAAATACAGGACAAGCAGATAAAGCAGGAGATAATGCAATAATCATTTTATATTTTGACTCTCAAAGTGTTGTTAGCCGTTAACTTGCATTTTATGAATCACCAGAGACCACAGTTTCATCTAAAAAGCTTATTTAATGTTGTAGCACTGAACAAAAATAGTCACCTACATCCTGAATGGCCAGAGGGGGAGTAAATGAGCAGCATATTTTAATTTTTTGGGATAAATTATGCAATGCCTAAAGAACTATTAAGCACCTTTGCTGGCATCAATTTCAAGTCACATACAGTATGCTTAGGCACTACTTAAGTTTAGACAGTACAGAAGCTAAACTAATACATTTCTTTTGCTTGCTAGCAAAACATTCTGCTTCCTCCATACTAGCTGGAATATATTTGCTAGTGATCATTTATTAAAAAAGGAAGGAATGATCCCTAGGATACCAAGTGCAGCTCATAATTATTATTCAGCTTTTCCATTTCATTACTATGCACCACATTGCCCTCTCATTTATGCCTTTCCCTCCAAACTTTTAATCTTTTCTTGCCCTCATTTCTTCACCTTGAGGGAATTCTGCACTGCATATTGGGTGCTTGGTTTCATGGTGTCACTTTCAATTTGATCTTTGAAAATCCAAGTCTTCACCTCCACCAAGCAAACAAGTGCATTCTCCCACATCACTCCAACTATTTTAGCCTTTCTTGCTTCTGACTTTAGCTAGTGATGTGATTTACAACCCCTGCACAAACAGGATAAACAGTTTTTCTGAAGAAAAAATAAAACTTTGAACCATCACGCTCTTGTTAAAGAGTCACATGAGGCCAGCAATCCATGAATATCACAGCTTATACTGAGACTTCAAGCGCAGGCCTTGTGCATTGATTTATCCTCTCATAAATTACTAATTTGGAGCGCACACACGCTCTAGTGCCACCTGCCATCTCAAAGCAAGCAGCCAACACATCAACACACACACATGCACACCTATAAGAGGATTTACAGGCCTAAAAATTAGATCACAGCATGGGAAAATTTATTCTATCACAAATCGTTCGCATTACACCATGATGGAATTAAATTCTGCAATATACTTTCTGCTTCTGACTCCCTGCATGGATCACACAAGGTTTGTGGGGTTCAATTAATTAATCAGAGACAAACAATTCAGCGGATTGCGTAATTAAAAGGTGAAATATGTACGGTTATGTCAAAATTAATTATTTTAAGCAAATTTAATGTTTGTTGACTAACATAAGTATGCCGTTTGTGGGCTTATCTCACCTAAGAGTGCAAACACTAAGCCTCTCAAAACAATGACAGTGGTCCACTCAAATTCATCAATCATTCTCCAGCGCTACCAATTATGAGTTTGGAGGCGGGATTAATGTAGCAGGCAGGCTGGACCAGATGGTGTTGATGGCCGGATAAAAAAAATAAATAAAATCACAGGGAAAAAATCTAATTTATTAACAGCAGTTCAAGCCAGAATATACAGGGATGGAAAACAGAATGAAATGAGGATATACATTGGTGATATTTTTACATCATGGTGGAGTTTGGGTTTAGGAATGTAATTGGGCATTCACACCAGAAGCAACTTGTGTGAACAGATCATGCGATTTGCTGCACGTACATAGACACATAAACATTTTGAGTTCGCACCCTTCATTTGCGCATTAAATTCTTTTCACAATAGATGCAGGTTCGTGTCATGGGTGGAGCTTCTGTCTGCCCGGTGACTTTAGTTTCATTGCTAATGGCTAGCATGGATATTATTAAGAGATTAGATGTGCTGTATGTGCTTTAGGAAAGCTAATAAATGGCATAGATTCATTCTGCGCCATGTCTAAATTAGGGTTGGGCGATGTTGACCAATTTGGCATCGTAAGATGTCTATTGTGAAACATAGCGATGGATGATGCCAAAGTGGTGGTTTTTAATTATCAATCAATTAATAATGAATTAATTAATTATAGCCTACCGTTTTCACTACCTGACCCACATGGTCTATGCTTTACCCATAACCAAACCATAAATAAATAAAGTTACAATCAAATTACCACCTGTCAATCACTTTTTTTTGCGGGACTCTGGCTTGAATATGCAGTGATCTGTGTCGTTCTAATGGCTTTTCCCACAGCTGGCTGAGGAGACGAGAGTTCGGTTACAGTTCACTTTAGTGCATACATTTTTATTGGTTACACTGCAAAATCCTCATCGCGTGCGCAGATTTAGGAGACATTTATGCAGAATGCATCTTTGCACCTAAAAACGCCAAACGCATCGCTCAGGAACAGATTAAAACAGTTGTTATGTGAACTCGCTAAAGTAAAAAGCCCACAATGCTTGCTCCGCCTTTGTGCTCTTCTTATTTGGCCCACTGCTCTAACTGAACGCGAATGATTGGTTAATATCAGCTGTCAATCACTTAGTCAATGCCTTCTGCCCTTAGATGACAGGAGCTACGACCGTAAATATGTGAAGCGCTGAAGATGAGAGAATGAAAATAACACTGACAGATTTACCTACAGTTACTAATAATTGCACATCTTATTAATGATCATGTGCTGAATGTTAATCCATTATTTACACATATGGTTGACTAAAGTCATTC